CACGGGGGCCCCCACCGCCGTCGGGGCTCACCAGCGCATGCAGGGCCCAGCCACCACCTCTCCCGGCTCCAGGCTCTCCCAGGAGCTGAGCTCTGACCCTACTGACCGGCTCTGGTTCTCGGGGACCCCTGAAGGTGGCAAGCAGGGTGGGGAGGCCAGACGGCTCAGCACACACCTTGGTCCCCTCCACCGCCTCCCCATCCGCCCTGCCCACCGTGTCCGGCACCCCAACGTGGAGCGGGAAGCCCCAGCTGGACTGGCCCGGGGCGCGGGGTGGCGGTGTGGGGACATCATGGGCGCGAGGCAGGACCGGGCATCACTCCCGTCCTGCAGCCCCCGTGGAGGGTCAGGGCCAGGGGTGCTGGGCAGGGCGCAGCCACTGACCCATGGCCCCAGGCTGGTGCTGGCAGCGGCAGCGGGCGGGGGGCACACAGAGGCCGTCCTGGGAGAGCTGCCCCGCGGGGCAGCCGCAGCTGGGCTGGCAGCCAGGAGGGCCAGGCTGGCACATGGTCCCAGGGGACAAGTCCTGGCACGAGCGGGGACAAGGCCTCCCACAGGGGAGGAGACCCTGGCCCCCGCCGCAGTCTGGGGGAGGAAGCAGGAAGCGGTGTTGCGGGAACCCCACACGGGGAGACTGACCCCAGCCCTGAGCGCAGGTCCCGGGGTGGGGACAAAGGCCGCCGGCTCGCTGGCCCTCCCCGCCGCCTCACCTGCACATCGGGTGGCATTGTCCTGGCAAGGGCGGCTCTGCCGGTGGCCCCCAGGGCAGGGCACGCCCCCCTCAGAGGCGGGGGGCCAGCTGCACGCCCGGCTCCGGTGCGACTGCCCCCCGCACGCGTCGCAGGGCGACCACGGGCCCCAGGCCCCCCAGGCCCCGTCCACTGCCCCGGGAGGGCGGAGCCATGTCTTGGAGGCCAGGGCGGCCCCGGCGGTTGGGGCTGGCACAGGCCGCAGGGGCGCCTCGCCTGGGCACTGGGCGCCGGGGCACACCTCCCTCTGGTGCTGGGGCCCTGCCTCCCCCGCCCCCCCGGGGCATGGGGCCCCGCCCTGCCGGGGAGCCGGGCAGGCGCAGGCCCTGGAGCGGGTCCTCGTCTGGCCCCTGCAGGGCTGGGAGCAGGCCGTCCACTCCGACCACGGGCACCAGCCGCCGGGCACTGCGAGGACAGTGGCGGGCACTGGGGCGCACCGTCCCCTCTGGGGTCCAGCCCCTTGTGTGCCCGGCCTCTTCGCTCACCTCCTGCCCCCCTGGGAACATACCTGGACAAGGCAGGTCCGTGCAGGTCAGCTTTCCCTCCAGGCAGGTGCTGGGCAGGGAAGGCGGGCGCCAGAGGGAGGGCAGCAGCTCAGCCTGCCCGTGCCCCCACACACGCCCCTCCGAGTGCCTCCCCCTCACCCCTGTTCCCGATTTCCCTCCAAGGCCCAGGCCCCTATCTCCAGACACTGCCCAAAGGGTCTCTCGGTGCCCCCCGGACCGTGTGTCCTACCGGGGACCGACCTCGGGTCAGCTCAGCCGACGGCCAGGCAGCGGGCGAACCCCACGCCTGTCGCCTGTTCCCACTCACAGCTTAGGCCCCACTGGCTCCCCGAGGGGACTGCGGGGGTGTCGCCTGCATCCACCCAGACGCAGGAGAGTGCAGGTGCCGGAGAAAGGAGGTAGGAGACACCTGCGCTCTGCTCCCACCTGCCCTCACCCCTGCACCTGCACCTGCTCCCGCCTTTGCACCTGCTCCCGCCCTTCACCTCTGCACCTGCACCCTGCTCTCACCCCCTCACCCCTGCACCTGCACCCTGCTCTCACCCCCTCACCCCTGCACCTGCACCCTGCTCTCGCCCCCTCACGCCATGCACCTGCTCCTACCCCCTCACTCCTGCACCCTACTCCTACCTACCCTCACCCCTGCACCTGCACCTGCTCCCGTCCTTCACCTCTGCACCTGCACCCTGCTCTCGCCCCCTCACCCCTGCACCTGCACCTGCTGCCGCCCTTGCACCTGCTCCCGCCCTTCACCCCTGCACCTGCACCTGCTCCCGCCCCACCCGCACCCTGCACCTGCCCCGACTCACCAGTGGTTGCAGCCATCAGGCCTCGCCAGCTGAGCGCCTGGGCGGTGCCAAGCCCCGGTCAGCAGGTCCAGGCAGTCACAGTGAGCCGGCCGCACGCAGACCGCCCCGTCAGCACTCAGCACCTGGCCCGGGGGGCAGTAGCAGCCCGGCTGGCAGCGCCACACACAGTGCTGGGGGGCAGCAAGGGGGTCCCGTCAGCCCAGAGCAGGGAGCAACGGGGGCGCTGGGGATGAGGGAGGATGGCGCGAGGGAGGAGGGAGCTCGGCGGGGAGAACGCAGCACCCCCACACTGTCCCTCCAGAACAGCTCTGGCCCCCAGTTTTGGTAAGAAAGTCGGGGAGACAAGCCAGGCTGGGGTCTCTGACTCAGCCCTCAGGGGCCAGAGCACAGGGCACAGGGGCCCTCAAGGCTGGCGGGAGGCAGGAGCTGGGCCCGGGGAGAGCAGCGCCAGACAGCCTCCCCCTCGAGGAGAACCCCTCCCTCACAGCGCCCCAGGACCGCAGGCGGCCCGCCCTTGCCCTGGCGCCCGCAGGCAGGTCCGGGCACTGAAGCCCTGCGGTGGGACGCTGCAGGGGACAAGCCCTTGCGGAGCGAAGCCAGGCCTGGGGCAGGCTGCGCCCGACTCGCCGGGGGCCGGGCCCCGCCCCGGCATGGGGCCCCTCCCCGGGAGGTCTGGCGGTGCGGGCCGCCCCCCCCCGCCAGGGTGGGGCCAGGACCCCCGCCCGGAAGCCCAGACTCACGGCCAGGTCGTCGCAGGAGCGGGGGCAGGGGGGCCCGCAGGGGCTGTACTCGGCCCCCTGGATGGCGGAGCAGTTGGCCACTGGCGGAGGGGACAGCTGGGCTGAGAGCCGCGTCCTGCACTTCCGGCGGCCGCCTCCCCGCCCGTCCCGGCAGGTACCTGGGCACGGCGGCGCCTGGCAGGCCTCCCCCTGGGCCCCGGGCCCCTCACAGTAATCCCCCAGGCCCCGGGGGGGCGGCCGGTCACAGGCTCGGGCCCGGCTCCGCAGGCCTCCCCCACAGCTCCGGCTGCAGCTGGACCAGGGCCCCCAGGGCCCCCAGCCCCCAGCTCCTGGGGACAGCGGGAGGTCAGTGGGGAGGGCTTGGCCGCTGGGGCGGCCGGCCAGGGGAGGAAGGGCGCGGGCGCAGCCGGGCTCCCGACTCACGGTCGCAGCCGGGCAGCAGGCAGGGCTCCTCCTCGGCCTCGG